TACCCGCATACACAAATACGCACACACTTTCAATTCGGCGGCGCATATCAGCCTCAGGCGCGGTCGGCATGTGGAGGTGCCAATTGCGAACTAAGTTAGTCGAGCGCGCCATGATGAAATAATCCAGTCATGGCCATGCAGATTGGTTGTGGAAGAACGAGAGGCGCTGTAAAGTCAAAGTGCAGCGGCTAAAGGCTCCGCGGAGCAAAAACTTGACGCAGGAAGTTTGAAGCACAAACAGCAGTCTGGTGCGAATTAAAGCCTCAAGGAAGCAAAAAACAAACTGTCAGGCTGCCGGTCGAGCCAACTTGGTGGCGGTGCATCACACAGGGAAGCTGCGCGACCAAAGCAACGCCACCGACCTTGCAGGGGGCAAGGACCACATAAGGCGACCGTGCAACATAATGCAAGAGTTCGGCGTGACAACAACGATGATCAAGCGGCCCAGCCTGGCTTCGCCTTGGATAACAAAAACGGAGCTGGACGAGACCGACCGCGCATACCAACTGCGAAACGCTGCGGCGCCCATGGGTGGTGGACAGGCGCAAGCATGGCCAACGTGCAGTGCAGACGTCAGCGTCAAAACGGCAAGCCCAAGCGCAGCCAAAGCCGCGGAGAGCTACCATGAAGGCAGGTCAAACCAAACCAAAATATGGAGCAACCGCCTGGGCCCAAGAGGGACTGTGAGCGTCACCTCAAAGGTCGCACCACACCGACCAACAAGCGACAACGTAAAAAGGAGGACGAGCCAAGCGAACCCGCCGGGATACGCCAACGCTCAGATGCCGGCAACCAAGCTGACATGCAACTGGCAACCAGCAGGAGCACGGACTGCAAACCTCAGGTGCGGACGCGCTCTCCAGGTGCGCTGCAGGAAGCAGCAACGACACAGGCCGCGGCCACGCCAGCCCGCACCCCGTGCCAAGGCGCAGGCAACAGGGCGGTGAGGCCGCTGCCGGACAGGCTGCCGGACGGAACAAGGCGCCGACCACGGACGGCGTGGGCGGAAGTTGCCGCGCGCACCCCTGGGGGCGCAAGAGCGCCAGTGCCCCGGCCAGCACGTGAGGTGTGCATGGCATCGCCTGGCCGAGCCCCCCGAGAAGCCCCGGAGAAACAAGCGGCCGGGCGACCAAAAGAGGCCGGCAGGACGGCGCAGCAGTGGGCTGCAGCGAGCTGCCCCAGGGCGAAGCCTGGGGAGCACGCGCCGAAAAAGCGAAGCGGAGGAGGAGGAGGAGGAGGAGGAGGAGGAGGAGGAGGAGGAGGAGGAGGAGGAGGAGGAGGAGCGAGGAGCGAGGATAGAGAAGCGAGGAGGAGGAGGAGCGAGGAACGAGGAGGAGGAGGAGGCTTTTTCACCGCGACGACTTCTTGCTTGCCAACAATTGTTATGCTGACCCGGGCGAGGGAAGGAATTTGGCGTTCCTCTCCCTCTCATTCTGCTGGGGGTGCTTGCCTTGAGTGAACAGAGGCCAAGCTGTACGTCCACCACAAGGCAACTCATTGCCCTAGCAAGGTTCCCCCAACTTCACGATCTGGCCACCACGACTGCAAAACGAGCAATCCAGACAGATATGCGAAAAAGTGCCAGCTGTGCAGTCCACCGTTGCACAGCGATGCTTCATACTTGCAATCAGCTCTGTTGAGACCAGGAAGCTTGGAGCAGCGGCCTGGGTGGGTGGGTGGGCGGTCCACCCCCCGCTCCCTCGCGAACGAACTTGACACTGCCACCAGGACCCCACCCAAGCCAATTCATGAGCACTAGACACAGCCTTGTCCTTGGGAGGGGGCCTTGATGTATCCAACCTCGGAGGTGGAGGGGGGAGGAAGGGGGTGGGGACGGGAGAGGCGGGAGTGGGATGCTGGAAAGGTGAGGTGGCGGGGTGCGTCTCTGGGAAGAGGCGGGAACGGATGAACAGAGGGAAGGGGGGGGGTCGGGGTGGAGAGCGGGCATTGCAGACACAACGTGCACGCGGACCCGCTGTTACGCCCACGTGATACCGAGATTGACATAGGAGTGGGGCGCGCCAGCACAAGCATTTTGACCCTCCTCCTCCTCCTCCTCCTCCTCCTCTTCTTCCACATTATTCTTCCCTCCTGTCACCTTCTCCTTCTCCTCCTCCACCACCTCCTCCTCCTCCTCGTCCTCGTCCTCCCACGTCATCCTTGCCTTTCCTCCTCGCTGCCTTGTCGTTTCTCGCTCCCTTCCTCATTATCATGCAAATGAGACTCCGCATCTATTGCTTCCCTGCTGCTGCTGTTCCTCCTCCCTGCCCTTGTCTCGCTTCCATTTCCCGACTCGGAGGCCTGTGCGCGCTCCTGGGCTATGTCAGCAGCGAGCTTCTCGGGAGCGGCTTTGGGCACATAATCTGTCAGGTGCGATCTCCTCGATCCCTCCATGATGCCTCCCCCATCTTCCATACCCCTCTGCTGCCAACTGTTTCCTCACCACTTTCCTCCTTTCTCCCTTCCATCTTTTTTCTCCTACCCTTCTTCTTCCCCCGCCTCGTGTTGCGATGCTTCTTCTGCCAGTGCCGTGGCTGCTCGTCCTTTCTCAACCTTATAGTTGTGGCAGTCGCGTAATTTGTGCATCCTCGCTGTCACACACTATATTCATGCATATTCTTCACTCCCCCTTTCTCACTGTCATAACGGTAGCTCATTCCCCCCTCGTATATGAACTTGCGCACACACCTGCACGCCTCTACTCATGATTTTTTTTTTTTTTTTTTTTTTTTGTTTTTTTTGTTGTCTCTCTCTATCTCTCTCTTTGCCCCACCATCGCCCTCGCCTTCATCCAACCATTGTTGGAAGATCGAACTGCTTCGACGTCATGTGAACCTGATACCAGCCTGTGGGCCCCGAGCAGCTCATTCTCGCAACAAGTGCTTCACGCGCACGCGACGTGTGTGTGTGTGTGTGTGTGTGTGTGTGTGTGCGTGCGTGCGTGTGCGTGTGCGTGTGCGTGTGCGTGTGCGTGTGCGTGTGCGTGTGCGTGTGCGTGTGTTTGTGTGTGTGTGTGTGTGTGCGTGCGTGTGTTGGTGTTGTGTGCGTGTGTGTGTGTGTGCGTGTGTGTGTGTGTGTGTGTGTGTGTTTAGCGGAACCCTGTGCGCGCAGAACCGTGGACGGCACACGAGCTCGTAGCGGTCCCAGGCGCCCCTGCGAGAACGCGGCGCACAGGGGGCCCCGGCGGCCCGAGCGCCGACGGGCGACGGTGGCACACGGAGTCAGAGAGGCCAAGAGAATAGGTAGGTATCCAGGCGCGGCGAGGGCGTCACGCAGGGCCATCGACATCAGAACTGGCCACGGTGGTCCAAACGCCGGCGGGCGAGGGCCGCGCGCGCGGCAATTGCGGCCCCAGTCCTCTGAGCCAGATCGGCCCACGCTACTGCGTCGGCGACGCGATGCAGGGATAGTTCCTGGAAGCGCAAGTAGAGGCCCTCGCGTGAAAATAGTGAGACTGTTACTGCTGCTCCCCTTGCGCGGAGAGCTCCGAAGAGAACGGGGATCGCGCCGTGGCGAATCATTGGCGCGCGCCCGGCCTCCCCGCCCACTTCTCACATTCTCACACAGCACCCGTGCTTCTCTTGCTACCGCAGTTCCCGCATTCTCACAGACTTCTCTTCCCCGGCGGCGCCCACTTCTCGCACTGCCAAGAAAAATGCGATGTTCACCGTGACAATGCAATCGTTCATTTCCCAAATTAATTTGCGACGCTGCTGCCTTCCGCTTGGACCTGTTTTGGGCTCGGTCTTTCCAGAGAAGTGGCAAACTTAGAAAATTATCCTCCCATCGGAACCAGCATGCGCGACGTGACCTTTTGGGTCTTTTGCGAAGCAGGTCTAGCAACAACACAAACCATTCCGCATCTGTCCACGCGACGGACTTCTGGCACAACCTGCCATTTCCCTTTTTCGAAGCCCTATTTTCGCAGTGTGACCAGCCCACTGCCGCTTAGACTTAGATTGCACATGCGCGTGCTGCCACAACTTGACGTTGTTTCGTGCTGCCTCCACTCTTGCTGGGCTACCCACGCAACCCGCTCCTCTTCTGGGCGTCGTCTGACTCTAACGACTCTCTGCAACATGTGGCTCTGTACATATTGCAGCTTCCGTCTTTGTCTATGCGCCTGGAGCCACGACTCGCAGCGCCAGAAAACGCTGCGAGAGACGGAGGCGTCAAAAACACGAAGGCGTTTCTTCAGTCGCCCCAGCTGTGATCGAGCAGCGGCCATAACTAATGAAAATCGGCCCGCCCAGTTTTGATCCGAACTTCAATCCCCTTGCTCGTCCTGTCTGACAACGTGGAATGGGTGCCTACTAGTTTGAACCCAACAGTCGGTGGAACTAATGAGAAAATCTGTCCCTGCACTGCCAGGCTTTGTCTCGGGTCTCCATGGTTATGTCATTTGGTGCATTAACTTGCGTTCAAACGCAGGTAGTGGGTGCCAAAAGCGGCGACTTCATCGCCGAACATATTTTGCGATTCCTCGGCCGACTTTGCCATGAGAGTCGTGTCGTCAGCAAGCACCGCGTGAATGATGCGTTTGGTCCAGTCCTCCACGACTGTGCCAAGTGATCTCTGCTCCCATTGTTCGCGCAATCCTCGGAGCACCAACCACGTGGCATCGTTGAGCAGTCAGTCGCGGGATAATCGGGTCACATTGCCGGACTTCCCTCTTGATTTCGAGCACTTTGCTTAAACTGTTCGCATCAACGTGTGCGTGGTATAGCCGTTCCGATGTGAATCTGATTGCGCTATCCAAGCTGGCCTCCGCAAGTGCATGCATCCAGAACGGAAGAATGCTTGTTCTGACAAGTGTTTTGGTTATGCGATACTTTCTCTGCCTGCCAACACCGGCGGTCAATCTCCATACATGACAGACAAGATGCTCATTAACCAATGCTTGTTTGGAAGGATGGCACCTCATTCTTGTACAAGATGATTACCTTATTCGTTAGCCAGCTCCTCGGCACTGCTTGCTTGTGATGGATGAAACTCGTGAACACATCAGCGATTGTCTCGAACCGACCCTGGTGCCCAACCTGCAACTTTTCTGCAACGACCACATCGTCTGTGCATGCCTTGCTTTTCTTTAGTTGTTTGAACACGTCCGTGCGTTTCTTCGCGATGAGCGGCTCTGTCTCTTTGCCGCCCCACTGCTCTGTCATTTCCCGTTCGGCCCCAGGCGCGGCGTACAAACCCTCGTAACCAATCAGCGAATACGTTTGCCATCTCCATGGGTGTTGTGCGTATGCGACCGTCTTCTCCCTCTGCGGCCACAGTTCTCTGCCGCCTCGTTGGGGCCGCCACTCTCCGTGGCAGCTCCTTCGTGCTTCCATTGCGCGGAAGTAGCTGCACTAATCTGGATTCTCTGCGTGCATCCTGTCTCCCTGACGAGCATCGGAAATGCTGCTCGGACAACTCTTGCGCTACTCGGGCAGAGAGCACCTCTCCCGTTGCGCTCGATGAGCACCTGGAGCCTCGACTCATCGATATTCTCGCGGGGTAAACGATGCAATCCGCGCGGTGCTTATGCACCTGTATCGGACGCCGCCTGTATCGGATGACGCCAATCAAGTGAACAAAAATGGCTCGGTGGGGGACGTCAATGTTGGACATCTGCTCGGCGAGACATGTGAGCAATCGCGGAAATTGTTTGCTACACTTACGGGCGCAACACACGTGAGTACGAGTTTCCGTTGTGTTTCGTGGCGTGAGGGAGGCCCACTCAGAGTGATGGGAAACCCTGACGAAAATGCTTCCTCCTTCTACCGCACCCTCCTTCCCGCCTTCCTTCATCTTCCCCTCGTCCATTCCCCTTTCCCCTTCCTATCCCTCCCCACTCTCCCTCTTCCTCCCCGCTCTTCCTCTTCCTCCTCTCGCCCGCTCTCGCTCCCCCTCACCGCCTATGACGATCACGCGTGCTCACGCGATTGTGTGTGCACGTGGACGACGACTCCTTCCACCTCCTCCTCCTTCGCCTCCTCCTCCTCCTCCTCCTCCTCCTCCTCCCGAGCCTCCCTCCCGCCTGCTCCTCCCCTCCTCCGCCTCGTCCCCACTCCACGCCCCTCCCTCTCCCTCGCCCTCTCCCTCTCCCTCTGCCTCTGCCTCTCCCTCTCTCTCTCCGCCCTCCTCCTCCTCCTCCTCCTGCTCCTCCTCCTCCTCCTCCTCCTCCTCCTCCCTCCTCCTCCCCTCCTCCCCCGCCAACCTCCTCCGCCTCCCCCTCACTCCCCTCTCCCCCGCACCTCTCCTCCTCCTCCTCCTCCTCCCTCTCCTCCTCCTCGTCCTCCTCCTCCTCCTCCCCTCTCCCCTCGTTGCACTCCTCTTTCCCCTCCAGCTCCTCCTCCACCTCCTCCTCCTCTCCTCCATCCCCCTCCCTCCCTCTCTCTCTCCCCTCCTCCTCCTCCCCCTCCTCCTCCTCCTCCCCTCCTCCTCTTCCTCCTTGCTGCGTCCTCCTCCCCTCTCCCTCCTGCTCTGCTCTGCTCCTGCTTTTGCAACTCCTCCTCCTCCTCCTGATCCTCCTCCTTATCCTCCTTCTCCTCCTCCTCCTCCCCGCCCCCCACCACCTCCTTCCCCCCATCCTCCCTCCGCCCCCCGACCAGCAAAAGCTACTCGACTGTGTCTCACCCCCCCGGGGGAACCCACTACAACCGATGCCCCCCCAGTGTGGAATGGAACAAACGCGAAGGACGTTGCCTTTCCCAAACATCCTGTGGTGTCGGATCCTCGTTTTAATGGGGCAGCGCCCCGCGTATCCCTTCTTACCGCTGCCCTCCCCCTCCTCCCACCCTTGCCTCTGCCCTCCGCATGTCCACCATTTCAGCGCACCCGGTACAGCGTTTCGTGGCCCCATACGGAGTTGCACCGAAAGTCCCAGTGGCTGCGATCACATGTGCCCCCGCCACACATGTCGGCACACCCCTCACACGTTTCGTGGCCCCATAGGGAGCTCCACCGAAGGCTCTAGTGGCTGTGATCACCGGGGCGCCCCCGCCATCCATTTTGGCACACCCCTCACACGTATCGTGGCCCCATTGGGAGCTTTACTGAAGGCCCCAGTGGCTGTGATTACATGCGTCCCCGCCACCCATGTCGGCACACTCCTCACACACTTCGTGGCCACCTAGGGAGATCCACTGAATGCCCCAGTGGCTTCCCTAACATGCGTCCCCGCCACCCATTTCGGCACACCCTCACGCGATTCGTGGCCCCATCGGAAGCTCCACCGAAGGCCTAAATACAATCACATGCGTCCCCGCCGCAAATTTCGGCACACCCCTCGCACGTTTCGTGGCCCCCATAAAAAGGGGGCTCCATCGCGCGCGTTTCTGCACAAACCTCACACGTTTCGTGGCCCCCCTGGGGAGATCTGGCTGTGATCACCCGCGCCCCCGCCATTTCGGCACACCCCTCAGACGTCTCGTGGCACCAGAGGGAGCTCCACCGACGGCTCCAGTGGTTGTGATCACATTTGTCCCCGCCACAAATCTCGGCACACACCTCACACGTTTCGTGGCCCCATAGGGGACTCCACCTGGCTGTGCTCACCAGCGCCCCCGCCACTCATTGCGGCGCACCTCTCACACGTTTCGTGGCCCCATAGGGAACCCCACCGAAGGCCCCAGTGGCTGAGATCACATGCGTTCCCGCCACCGATTTCAGGACACCCCTCACACGTTTCGTGGCCCCATAGGGAGCCCCACTGAAGGCTCTAGTGGCTGTGATCACCAGCGCCCCCGCCATCCTTTTCGGCACACCCCTCACACGTTTCGTGGCCTCATTTGGAGCTCCACCGAAGGCTCCAGTGATTGTGACCACATGCGTCCCCGCCACCTGCCACCCATTTCGGCTCCTCACATTGTCGTTGCCCCCTAGGGAGCTCCACCGGATGCCCCAGTGGCTGTGATCACGTAGGTCCCATCCATTTCAGCACGCCCCTTAGATGTTTCGTGGCCCCATTGGGAGCTCCACCGAAGAGGATACGCACCGCTGGAGCTCATTTAGGTACCGTTTGGGTACCTTTTTCGGACCACCTTCGCCACCCCCCGATTAATGACCCCCCCATTACGCCAAGCCCGATCAAGAACATGAGACCCTCCGCTGGCTAAAACTCACAGAATATCCAAGGGTACTCTCCCCAGGATGCGCAAGAACATCCCGCAGACACGAAGCACATTAGGGTACCCTCCGCGAACCGACCTCGATCTCATACCTCGGTCCGACTGTACCAGTGATCCTTGCAGACAAGACAAGACAAGAGCCCGCGTCGAAGCACCTACGAGGATGCGGCGGGAGGGCGCCGGGGAGCCGGAATGGGCTGGCCGCTCAGAAACTGGAGTCGGACTTTGGGAGCCGGGGTCGGGAAGTCGGAGTCGGAGAGATGGGGTGGAGCTGGATCCTTGCAGACGAGCTGTGTAAAAAGAGAAACGAGGAGAAACGCCATCCTCCTCGAGGCACTTCTCCGCCTCGGACCTCGATCCTCCCCCGCCTCCCCAGACACCAGGCGCTCGGATGTTCTCGTCTCGATGCGCGGGCCCCTGCCTCCTCGGCCCCTTCCTTCGGGCCAGCTTTCCATCCCGAGCAGTCCTTTGGCGGCCCTGGTGCCTGCGGAAGCCAAGACGTGGTCAGAGACTGGCCGCTCCGTTGCTCTGTCGAGACGCCGGCTGCCTGGGCCTCGCTCCTCTCCCGACCGAAGTCCGCTCCCGGCCCCCTCTCACCCGGAGTCCGCCCCGGCACATCTCCGCCCTGGGTCCACTTCTGCCGGCCCGCGACGGGCGCCCACAGGCTGAAGACGTGGCGACGAAACCCTCCGAGCAGCCGCCTCCTCCGCCCTCGGCGGCCGCCCACCACGATCCCGGGCACCCCCCGCACGCTCTCGGCGAGGCCTGCGCCGACGGAACGCACCCCGAGGCAGGAGGCCTCACAGGAGCCGGCGAGGACGTCCGAGCACTCCCCGGGGGCCAAGAGTCCGAGCGCTTCCTCGACGACGCCCGAGCGCTCCCCTCCGCTCCTCGCCTCCGCTCGCCGCTCGCCGCGCCGCCGCGAAGGCCCCGGCTGGAGGAGGAGGAGGAGGAGGAGGAGGAGGAGAAGAGGAGGAGAAGAGGAGGAGAAGGAGGAGGAGGAGGAGGAGGCGGAGGAGGAGGAGGAGGCGGAGAAGGAGGATGAGGAGGAGGAGGAGGAGGAGGCGCCCCCCCTCGCGCCGCAGGGGCGGCGCGGGCGACGCGACGAGACCGAAGGTATCAAAACGCCGTCCTCCCCGAGGCCCTCGAGGGCCGCCGCGGCGCTCGCTCGGCTCTCCTGCCGCCGCGGGGGGGGGGAGGGAGGGAGGGAGGGAGGGAGGGAGGGAGGGAGGGAGGGAGGGAGGGAGGGGGGGAGGGAGGGAGGAGGGAGGGAGGGAGGGAGGGAGGGAGGGATGTAGTGTGGGGGGGGGGCGGGCAGGAGGAGGCACGGCGTGCGGAGGAGGACGGGGGAGGGGGGAGGGCAGGAGAAGAAGGACAGGACCAGTCGGTGTGTCGGGGAGGACGGGAGGATGTGTCGGTGCTGTGACGAGGAGGAGGAGCAGGATGATGATGATGCTGCTGCTGCTGCTGCTGATGATGATGATGATGATGATGATGATGATGATGATGATGACGAGGAGGACCAGTGCAAGCCCAAGACGCATCAACGATGTTGCAACAAACCATCCCTCCAAGTTCCATCTTCGGAGGTTTCATAATCACTTGTGTAACAGTTGCGGGAAATGCCCCGTTGGAACACAGACGTCTGAGAATCCCCAATCGTGCCAAACACACCATTCCTGGGACATCAGCGCCGCGAGTCAAAGTGACTCTTGCGCCCTGAATCTGCTAAACCATGCCCAAATACCGTTCCTGGGACTTCAGCACCGTCAGCCAGAGTGACTGGTGCGCCCTAACAGCCAGAATACCACTCTTGAATCCATCAAGCTGTTGTAGGCTTTCAATACGAACGTGCGCGGCGCTAAAGCGAGAACCATATTTTGAAAACGACCCACCCTCCAACCGTAAAACGGCTACAAACTTCAAGCATCAAAATCATACATGGTGAGGAAGTCTCAAGGGAAACGCCTCGCCCGCCCTACCGACACGTCTGGGAGCGCGACAGGGAGGAGATGTTTATACTGAAACGGGATGCAGGAGGAGGAGGAGGAGGAGGAGGAGGAGCAGGAGGAAGAGGAGCAGGAGGAGGAAGAGGAGGAGGAGGAGGAGGAGGAGGGGGAGGAGGAGGAGGAGGAGGAGGAGGAGGAGGAGGAGGGGGAGGAGGAGGAGGAGGAGGAGGAGGAGGAGGAGGAGAGGAGGAGGAGGAGGAGGGGGAGGAGGAGACCCGAGATGCATCAGCAATGCTGCAATACACCCTCCTTTGAGCCCCTGCAGGCCCCTCTCCCCTCGCTGCAGGAAAGACCAGCGCCCCGTGGGCCTGCCATTCAGCCGAGAGCCCTGTTTTGAAAGTCGGGGCCCCTGTCGGTGATCCGTGGGCGGTGTGGGTTAGGGAGCAACAGCTGGAAGGTCCTCGTCGGGAGGATGAAGGAGGATTGAGCCCCATTGGGGGGCTGTTGCGCCGGAGTGGGCCTCGGATCAGGCGGGATGAGGCCGGATGAAGCGGGATTGAGTGGGATTAAGCCGGATTAAGCGGGATTAAGCTCAGGTCGGGCATGTCCCCCTGCGGGGTAATCTTTGACGAAAAATGCAACATACAAAACAATACCCTACAATAGCCAAAAAATAATCGACAAATAGTCCCCAGACTATTTTTTCAAGATTTCTGAACATGCCTCCTGTAGAGGGACATGCCCGACTTAAGATTAAGCCGGATAAGCCGGATTTCGGACCAGGGCAGAATCCGAGTTTCTGACCTCCCAGGAGTTGCATCCGAATGCGGGGCGGCCGAGGCGTCCCCCCCCCCCCCCCCCCCGAGCCTATCCGCCTATCCTTGGGTCGGGCATGTCCGCCTACCGGCGGATGTTGGAAGACAACTCAAAAATACAGTGGAGGCCAGTCCACAAGAAACCTTCCACGAGAAACCCAACCCTGAGACCCCAGGACGCTCGTCGACTTTCGGTGTGGGAGCGTCACGCTTTCCAAGGCAAAACCATCAAAACCCAAGAAACCCATGGCACCCTGGAGGCAAGCAGGGTGTTTTTTTGGCATGGGTCTCCACTGTAATCAAACAATAAGCAATAATTTTTAAACATAGAAAGACATCGTCCCCTGACCATTTGTTGTCTATTTCCCTACCTAGGCTCTGCCTAGAAGTGTTCTTACTGTGTATGCTTAAAGGGGCGGGCAGTGTTGCCCGCCCCGGGCGGTTCCCCCAGGATCCGCCCCGCGGTTCCCCCAGTGACGTTCCCTTAGCTTAGCGTTGCTTATCTCATCTCAGCTTAGCTTAACTTAGCTCAGCTTAGCTTCATCTTAGCTTCGCTTAGCTGTAGCTGTAGCTTAGCTTAGCTTAGCTTAGTTTAGTTTAGCTTAGCTTTAGCTTAGCTGTAGCTTACCTGTAGCTAAACTTTAGCTGTGCTTTAGCTTAGCGTTAAGTTAGATTTAGCTTAGCTTTAGCTTAGTTTCAGCTTAGCTTTAGCTTAGCTTCAACTTAGCTTTATCTTAGCTTCAACTTAGCTTTAGCTTGGCTATAGCTTAACTTTAGCTTAGCTTCAGCTTAGCCTCAGCTTAGCTTCAGCTTATATTCAGCTTAACTTTAGCTTAGCTTGAGCTTAGCTTTAGCTTAGCTGTGACTTAGCTTGAACTTAGCTTTACCTTAGATTTACCGTTACTACTGATGCTGCTTTCCTAGGGGCTCCTACTCCTAGGTAGGGTCGCACTGGGAGAATTTTGAATATGCCTCCTGTAAAGGGACATGCCCGACTTGAGCCTATTCCCCCCCGTCCCCGTCGCTCGGTTTCCGGGTCGTAGCTGGGGCCTCCAGCGACCCTTCGAAACGATCCTGGCCCCCCCGCCCAGAACGCTCTCTCATGCGCGGCCGATGGAAACCACACCTGGCACCAAAAACTGGAGAAGAACTTCGAAGACTAGCCCCTGGAGCCCATGCCCCTACGGTCTGGGGCTTTTGGGGCAGCAGGGTGTGGTTTGCAAAGGGTGTGGCCTGCAACCCGCACCCCGGGGGGCGGGCGGGGACCTCGAGGGAGTGCTTCGCCGCGCCCCCAGGGGGCCCGACGAGGAACGTGGTGCCCCCGAAGCCCCAGCCGGCGCAGATCGCAAACCACACCCTGGCGTAACCGCACCCTTTGTACAGTCAATGGGCAACCTTCCCAAAGGTACCCTTGCATCCTTGCCTCCTCGGTCCATCCTTCGCCGCTTTCGCTGGCTGCGCCCCGCTCGAAAAGCTCCGAAATGGGCGTCCAAGGCCCTTGCATCCTTATCGCGCATCCTTACTATACTGGTTGACTGTAGTAAAGGTCGACCAAAACAACGTTTTACGTTTCCGTTCCGATGTCGTTGTGAGGCGCTGTGGAGCGAAAGCGGTGGGGCCGACGGCCCAAAAAACAGCGCTTCGGCCCAACTCCGAATTGGTGATTGGCCAACCGGTGCTGGGCCCTAGACTGAAATCGAAGCATGAAAACGAAGAGAACATGAGAACGACACACGAGATTGCCCAAACAACGTCCTGCTCGACCCCTGCTGTATTGAGGGATGAAAAAAACGCCCCTACCCTGGGTTAACAATTGCGTGGTCTGTGAATCTCCTGGGAGCGCCCAAACGGCGAGAGAGGCACCAAGACGCCGCGCAACACGCGCGACACTCAGGGTTTACCCTGTCAGCCCGCAGGAGATTCAGCGGTTCAGCGCACAGCGCCTCATGAACCAGGGCAGGGCCGTTTTCTACGCCCTTGGTTTAGGCAAGCGCGACCCACTACTCGCAAAGTAATTACTCACAAGTGACCTGGATCCGCCGCGGGGATTTACGATACATGGCATCGAAGCAGACATGTGTTTTTGTTCGGACGTTTGCGAGGAGGCACTTCGCGAGTAGTGGAACAAGCTCGGTGCTGAATCCCAGACATGCGACGTCCTGATTTTTTCAATGCAAGGTCCCTGGAAGTCCCGACCCTCTCCCCAGGGCCGGTTTCTCATCCCGAGTCGTTTTTTGACGCTCCCGAGGCTCGGCGAGGGCCCCCCGTGGCCGATAACTGGCAAAAACCTCCCGTCCGGTTTTTTTTTGGTACGACGCGATCATGCCTGGGATTATGTTGTTCCCATCCTACTCAAGGGCCGCATCCCAGAAATAATTTCGAGCACCCGAAAAAATGCCACAAGAGTATCAAAAGAGTGTCGAAACAGTGTCGGGCGAGTGTCTCCCAGGGCCCGACGCGTGAAAACCCTCGAGCTTCGGTACTTTTTTTTTCTGGCGCTCGAAGTTCTCTATGGTGATCAAGGCTAAAGTAGGTTGGAGCATCATAAGCCTGGGACTATAGCCGCGGGCCCAAGTGCCTGTCAGCGCCCCTCAAACGGGGACTCCACTAACGGGTACTTTGGCCAGTGACCCAGTGAACCCAACCCTTCCCGATGTGGGCAAAACTGCAATGCAAGAAAAAGGCCCTAAAGTGGCAACATTCGGCAAACATTCAAAGTACCCGTTAGTAAGTACCCGTTACGGTGCCGTTGAGCCTGACCGTACAGCGCTGCCCCGGCGGCGGGCGCGTCCTGCAGCTCCGCCCGCAGCGCGTCGGCCGCCGACCCGCCCTCGGCCGCGCCGCGCGCGCGCCCCTCGGCGATCTCGGCGCGGAGCGCGGCCAAGGACGTGGCGGTCTGGGCAGGGCGAGGAGGCAGGAAAGGGCTGAGCGGCCCGAGGTAGGGCAGGAGAGGGCCGAGGGGCAGGAGGAAGGAGAGGCAGAGGTGCAGGAAAGATACCATTTCCGAGGTAGAGGAGCCGAGCTGCCTGGGGTAGGGCAGGAACGGGCCCAGGGATGGGGGGAAGAAGAGGTAGAGGGGCAGGAGAGATGCCATCCGAAGGGAGGAGGAGAGACGAACCGAGGATTTACCTTCCCCCGCTGTGTGCACTGCCATGATAGTTCTGTGTGCGTCAGTCAAGCATGCACACGGCCTGGGCCCCTGGCCCGGCCGCCCCCTGCGCCCCGCCGCCGATGCCAGGATCGGCGGCGAGCGAGGGGGAGGGGAAGTTTGAGGCTCGGGGCTCGAGGTTTTCAGCAGTTTTCGTCGGTTCTCGACGACTTTCCAGCCTCCAGATGCGCTCCAGCGGCTCTCGAGGTCCGAGGTTTTCAGAAGTTTTCGCCCGTTCTCGGCGGCTTTCCAGCCTCCAGATGCGTTCCAGCGGCTGCGCCTCGGCGAGAGCATCCCGGGCGTGCCGGGATCGTCCCGAACAGCCGCTGGAGACCAGAGTTCTGACCCCAAAAGCAAATTCGGCAGCGCGCCCAGGGGGAAACGAGAAGGAGAAGGCCTTCTCAGAGGGCGGCGGGACTTCTCAGAAGCCCTCGCGCCTCTGAGAGGTTTTCTCTGTCTTCGGGGAAGGCTTACTCTGGATGGGTTATCTATCAAGGGTGGGTGGGTAAACTTCAGACTGAACCTGCCTAATCCCGCCCCCCTCCATCCTCCTCCCGCTCCTCCCGCTCCTCCTCCTCCTCCTCCTCCTCCTCTTCCTCCAACCCCCGCTCCACCCATTTCGACAGCACGGGCCCAACCCCCCAGCGGATCCAAGGGGGGGAGGGCGGATATTGCCCCATCCAGAGTAGACAACTTCTCAGAAGACTAGGGAACTTCCGAGCCCTCTGAGAAGGCCTGCCCCCTTTCACATCCCCCTAAGGCTCGACGCCGACCTGCACTCCGCCGCCGATGCCACGATCCGGCTGGGGACAGAGTGCACGTGAGCGGAGAAAAAACGTGTCTTACACGTCGGTCACGTCTAATCGTACTCATTTCTAATTGTGCTCGTTTCTAATTGTTCCTGGCCCCCTAGTAGCCAAGAAGAGGCCTAGGATAGAACAGTTAGAAATGAAAGGATCTTGGCCCCCCAACAAATCACAGAACTTTCGAACATTAAATAATGATCAGTGTGTGCGCGAGCTGGCACGGCGAACTCACGCCGCAGCTTGCGCGGGCCGCCAGCGCGGCACGCGGCACCGGAAACGAGGGCGTTCACGCTCGACCTTGCGCGGGTAGCTTGCGCGCCAGTGTCGGTGAAGACGACCCCCTTTTTTTCTGCGTCGCTTACATCAGCTCGAATATTTTGTTTGCACTCCACGGCCTCACCATGGGAGCCTCCAAGGGCGACTGCACTCTGCACCCTTGGCAAAAACAGAGAGGGCTGCATCCAGCAACACAAGCAGGGCTCCACGCCGAGACTGAACTGCAGGAAGACGAAGGCACAGCTACAGAGAGCTGCCGGCCCAAAAGTGGATAGGAGGAAGGAGCCACCAACGATGGACCGAAGAGAGCCCGCGCCGCGGCCATACACGACACGCGTCTCGATCGCCGCCGGTCCTGCTCTCAGTGCTTCAGCCAGCGGCCTGCACAGGCCACCTCGAGAGACAGCAACGCGTGCCAGGAAGCTGGAAGCTCATTTGGCTGGACTCGCGTGTGGAAGATCAGGAGGTCGCGCGCCAGGTTACACGTGCGGAGGCCCAGCGTGCCTCGCCAAGTGCTGCAGCGACAAGCGGCCACGCGTGTATCCAGATCTCGCCTTGACCAGCCGCGTCACGTGTGTGCAGCTCCCTGGCGTACACTCTGCGACGGTGCTCACCGCGCCGCTCGCGCGCCCATGCGCTGGCCGGGGCGCAGCCCAGAGGTGTTCGCGCGCTTGCGCGGCCAGCGTTGAATCGACGGCTTCTGCGGCGGCTAACCGTGCTGCCAAAGTGTCCCGCGACGCGGGTCGTTCGGCCGTTCGCGCCAGGGCGCCGAGCCCCGCAAAATCAAGCACCTGCGGGCGCAAACGCTGGTCCATTTGTCGCGCACCTGCGCCGCCGCGAACGCCGCGGAGGGCGTGCCCGGGCGGGCTCCAGCCTTGGGCTCCCGCGCCGCGTGGAGCTCCTGTTTGCAGCCTCGCGCACACCTGTGGGTGGCCTGCGGCAGACTCGCGAGGTGAGGACCTTAGTTGCCCCGATACGCAACACGCGACACGTAGCGTATTGATACGGAGCTCAACACGTAGACTGAACGCGCACGTTTTGAAAACGGACGTTTTGAACACGGCACGTGTTACGTTTCAAAACGTGCGTATCAGAGCAGCTAAGGTAAGGACCTGTGCGTTGGTTTTTCTGACACCGCGCGGATCCTTCAAAGCCTTGAGCTTCGCTGCCCCGATGCACGACACGCAAGACGCAGCGCATTGATACGGAACTCAACACGTAGACTGAACACGTAAGCAGCGACGCGATGCGTTCGCCAAAACGTGGGCCAATACGCTGAACCAGCGCGGAAAAGTATTGGCACGGACGTCTTGAGCACAGCACGCGTTGCGTTTCACAACGGCCGCATCGAGGCAGCCAAGGCCTTGAGCGATCGTGGCCCTCCGACAGCCTGGATCGTCCAACACTGGCTGAGCTCAGTCCGCCAGAGGCCTTCAACCTTGAACGCCCGCGCTAGCGTCGCCGCTGCGTCGACGCGACTCGGGAAACGCACTGACCCGGGTCAATGCGAACCCGGGGGGTCGGTCGGGCCTTGCAGGATCCTGTATAATCCCGCAGCATCCTGCAGGACCCTGCACCTTAACCCGGGTCAGTGCAGCCCTGGTCCTGCAGGATCCTGCAAGATCCAGCGCTCTGACTGACCCCCATTTGCGTTGACCCACGTCTCTTGAGCTCCAAACGACACGAACCTGATGTCAGGGCGGGCATGCCCTCCTACAGTCGGACTTTGGAAGAAAGCAACTGTCAACACATCTTCAAACATAGTCAGAAAAGCACGACACACCGTCACCATACTCATGTTTTGCTACTCTTGGGTGTTCCTCCTGCAGCGGGACGTGCCCGACTGAAACCTCCTGCAGCGGGATGCGCATCCCATGTGTGAGCGCTTCCCGCCTTCTTGTCCTGGGGAAACACGCCCGGAGCAGCAGCGCCCGCGCGGGGCAGCGCGCGCCCACGGACGCTCGTGGCACCGAATTCGGCCGCAGCGTGGGGGGCTGCCGCGCGGCGACTCGGCCCACCCCGGCCGGGACGCGCGCCCTCGGTCCTCCTCCTCCTCCTCCTCCTCCTCCCCCCTCCTCCCCCCACCTCCACCCCCTCCTCCCCCTCTCCTCCTCTCCTCCTCCCTCCTCCTCTCCTCCTCCCCCTCCTCAATCCTCCTCCTCCCTCCTCCTCCCTCCCTCCCTCCTCCTCCCTCCTCCTCCCCCTCCCCCTCCTCCTCCTCCTCCTCCTCCTCCTCCTCCTCCTCCTCCTCCTCCTCCTCCTCCTCCTGGGGCGGCCAGCCGCTCGGCAGCCGGCGGCGCCGAGGAAGACCCGCGGAGCCGCCGCGCGCGCCCCGCAGATCGCCGGCGTGGCCGCCGCGGCGCTCACGGCACCCTGGGCGCGGCCCCGTGCGCCCTTCGCAGGTCAGCCCTGCGTCGGATCGGGGCATCGCCAGTCGCAGCGCCTGGGTCCTCGGACCGCTGCGGGTCGCCAGCGGGTCGAATCAGGAACCGCACCGCGAACGGCCAGGTCGAAGCTTGCGATCTGGACCCCTCCCCCCCCCTAGCACCTCCCTGTCGAGCCCATTTTTTTTTTGGGGGGGGGGCTACCGCTCCCCCAGAACTTCCTGTGCCCCTCCCCCTCAAGTTATGGGCACCCACACACGGTGTGGTGACCACGCTGTGTGGTGAGTCGGTGGGGTTCGGGGTCACTGTACGGTTTTGGGACTTGGGTCGTTCTCCGAGAATGTCTCGGGCGACTGGGGCCACCGAGGTCCCGAAAACGTGTGGTGACGGACCCTGCGGTGAGGTCTTTGCGGATTTCGAAGTCACCGCAGGGTCTGTCACCACACGGTTTTGGGATCCCCGATCAAGGAAAGTTTTTGGATGGACTCCTAGGGGGGCCCGAGAACCCAATCCTCCCCCAACCCCCCTCGGAGGGAGGTTTTTGAATGGGTTCCTGGGGGGGTGCCGGGGAACCTCCCAAACAGCCCGCCTGTACACCCCCCTCGGCGTTTTTTTTTGTTGGGGTTTCCGGGAGGGCCGGAAAAACCACCAAAAAGCTTGCGAACACCACCCTCAAGGATGGCTTTTGGAGGGGTTCCTGGGGAGGCAAGAGAACCCTCCCGAAAACCTTTTCTGGAAACCCACCCTGAATGAGGGTTTTTGGAGAGGTTCTTGGGGAAGCCAGAGAACCGCCCAAACGACAAATCGTAACACAATAACCTTCAATATAAGGGGGGGGTCGGGGGGTGGGCGCAGAACCGTTTCAAAACTAATCCCAAACCCCACATCAACAGGGATTTTTGGGCGGGCTCCTGGGGGGCCGGAGATTATGCCAAGACACAATTTACTGCGCAGCAGATCTGCCTAAAAACCATATCTCAAAGAGCTTTTTGTGATGGGGGCCTTCCCTAAAACCACATGAAACCATCGCTCGAGGAGGTCTTTGAAAGGCTGCCCCCCCGCCCCCCCCACCCCGCTCTTAAGATTCCCCGTCTCACGGCAAGCTTTTTCTGGGGGTTCTGGGGGTGCTGGGCCCCTTTCCTAAAAAAACACATGTAAAACAAACCCCGAAGAGCTTTTTTTCCGGGGGGGGGGGGGGGGGCTGTGGGGGCTGGAGAACCTCCCCAACATTCCTTCCCCCCCCCTACTGTGGAAAGAACAATGTTTGCACCATGGTACTGCTGCTCCCCTTCGCCCCCGACTTGAATATTGATAGTGGTGACACCTCCCGGGGCCCTTCGGAAAAATAAAGATGCATCCCGTTTCAGCGTGCGCGTCCGCTCTCAATGTTAAGGTCGGGGGCGGGGGGTCGTATCATCAGTTGTCGCGCCGCCCAGGTGGTGCAAACTTGCTTCTTTCAACCGTATCACGGGAGTTCCCGAGGCTGCTCCTGGAACTGCCACACCCAATTGCCTCCGGCTGCTCCTCCTCCTTTCCTCCTCCTCCTCCTCCTGCTGTTCCTCCTCCTCCTCCGGCTCCTCCTGCTGTTCCTCCTCCTCCTCCTCCTCCGGCTGCTCCTGCTGCTCCTCTTATGCTCCTCATTCTGTTTCTTCTGTTGCTGTTTCTGCTGCTGCTGCTGCTGCTGCTGCTGCTGCTGCTCCTCCTCCTCCTCCTCCTCCTCCTCCTCCTCGTAGTCTCCTCGTCCTTCCTCCCTCTTCTCTCCTGCCCCCCTCGTCCCGCTGCTGCCCCCGCTGCTGCCCTCCTCCCCTCCGCCCCCGGCCTCGCGCACGGCCCGCCGCACCTCCTCGCGCTCCTCCGCCGCATCTGCCTCCACGCGCTCCAGGCGTCCTGGCGGCGCGGGCCCGCTCGTGGGCGCGCTTGCGCTCGCGCGCGCGCGCGGGCCCTCCTCCCTCCTCCCCCCGGTTCCCCCTTTATCTCCCCCGTCCCAGCCCTGCCCCCCTTCTTCCGCTCCCTTGCCCTCCCTTCCCGTCCCCCTCGCCCCCTCACCCTCCCCGTTCCCTCCTCGCTATCCCCCCCCCCCCCTCCTCCCCCTCCTCTCCCTCTCTCCCCTCCCGCGCCCCCCTTTATTTTCGTTTCCCATGCTGCGCACCGTCGGCGACTGGAGCGAGGCCTTACCTGGGGGTGATGGCACACAGGTGTCACATTGGGATCGTCCTCGCCGCATTTCGGCGGGCTGCGCTGGGCAAGCCCTCCTCTACGCTCTGTGGACAGATCTGAGAGAGCAGGCGGGGCAGGCAAGAAAGGAACGATGAGCCTCACACTGCCGCCGCGTCTGGCCACCAGCTCACTGAAGGGACTCGTGGGACCCTTCTCCCATGAGCTCAGAAAAACAAAAACCGAAAGCCGTGCCGCAACCTCCTGTTTGCTGTCGGGTCGCAAGTTTGCCACGGGTCCAAGGATGGAGGGCAGGTTGTTTTCAACATGTGGCTCTCGCCTTAGCGCCGCGCGCATTCATGTTGAAACCTTGCAGCAGGCTTCAAGATGGAGGGCGGTTCTTTTTCAAAACATGGCTCTCGATTTAGCGGCGCATTCGCCTTAAAGGTTTGCAGCAGTTTCAAGGATTCGTATGGCCGAAGTCCCAGGACTCGTGCCCTGGCACGCCTTAGGGCTGTCAAGACGCAAGAGTCACGTCGATTCGCGGTGTTGAAGTCTCAGCAATGGTGATCTGGCGCTATTAGGGAATGTCAGGACGCCACAATCACGTTGACTCGAGGCGCTCAAGTCCCAGGAGTGGTGTTTTGGGGTGATTGACGATTCTCAAAGGAGCCTCTGTGGGGACCAGTGTATGCGGGAACTTGGACGGAGTGCTTATTCCAACACCGTTGACGCGTCTCGGTCTCACACGTGTCCTCCTCCTTTTCTGCTCTCATTCCTCATTCTCCTCCTCCTCCTCGCAGTACCGACACATCCCACTCTCCGACACGCCCCTCCCTCCCTTGTCCTACAGCTCTTCTTCCTGCTGGGCCTCCCCCCCGTCTCCCTGGGGGGTCGCGGTGGCGGAGAACGTCCTCGGAAGTCTCGGAGGCTTGACATGGCGCCTTGCCAAAGGCACGGGGAAGAAGAACAGCACATAGCATCCAGCAGTAATACTACGAATGGTAAGAAGAACGGGAGCGCGAATGAAAAGAAACGACACTGTACTGCGAATAACAATAATACACATACGACTAGTAAGGACATTGAGAAACATACCAATGCGAATAACACAACCGCGGTACGACTAACTAATACTCTGAGCAATGCGAATGCAATGCTGGTAAGAAGACACGGAGGGGGATGATGGTCACAGCGGTTGGCGGCGAAACGAGAGGAGGGACATGTAAACCCCTCGTGCCCGAAGGAGGGTGATGAAGAACACAATGGAGGGAGGGGGGAGGGAGGAGGACGTGGAAAGAAGATGCGGATGAATATGACAGTGAAGATCATGGTAGGTTGTACGGAGTTCGGTTATAATGGAGAGGTGGGATCGTTCTTACAATATTAGGTGTAAATGAGGCAGGAGGGACGAAGGAGGAATGCGGGAATGGGTCAGGAGAAGGGGGAGGACAATGTTATGTATGTATTTCAAACATGCGTATACAATCACAGTGAAGGGACCGAGCGGTCATTCAGTGTCCCCGGGTGCGTGTCTGAAAAACGAGTCCATGGTGTTGTTCTTATTGTTGTTGATACTTTTGTTGAACCCTCACCACAAAATGATAATTATTGTTGATCCCCACTCTGGGACACATGATGTTTTTCAATTGAAATGCCCTTCCCGGGGCTCGTACCATGTTTCTTTATCATGGAACGTCTTGGGTCTCAGAATTGGGCCTCTGGCCCCCGTCTTACAGCAACAACGGCTCCCGCCTGATAATTCCTCACAATTTTTTGATTGAAGAATCGCGCTTTCGCTGGGGACTTCCTTAGAATTTGCTCCGGAATCGCGCTCTCGCGTAGGACTTCCTCGCAATCTATTCAGACGCCGCGCCCTCGACACTTAGGAATCACGCTCTCGCTTTCGCCTTCTTGCGATTCGCTTGGGAACCGCGCTATCGCTCGAGACTTCCTCGCGGTTCATGTGAGATTCACGCGTCAGCCACCCGCCTGCTCGACCTGGCCGCCTGGGTCCGCTTGCCCACTATGGGTCTTCCCGCCCGATCTGCACGTCTGGTTCCACCACGTGCTTTCTGCTCCTCACCCCCCTGCTAATTTCTCGCGTGCTCCATCCTCCTCCCTCCCCGTTTCCATCCGTCCACTTTTCCCATGTTTTAGGGGCTGCACTACATGCACGTGACAGGTAAGGAAGAGATACCCCCAAGGGAGTACCATCGAAGACGAAGAGGGCGGGAGCCGAGGGTTGGGGATATACGTGTTGAATGGCACGCGAGCAGATAGGAACGAACAGTCTTAAACTGATTGTTGTTGCTGTTGTTGAAATCTCACCCTCGGAAAGCAATTGTTGTTGATCCCCTGCCCCACCGGTGCACAGTGTGTTTTCAATTTTAATGCCTCCTCTAGGGGCTCTCATCCTGTGTTTTACCTAAAAAAACATTCTTCATGCTCAAACTGTGCCCGTGGCCCCCGGGCTACAATGATTATTCACTGCGAGGAGATCCCCACATGTGCATCTTTATTAAAAAGGATAATTGTCAGTGGGATCTGGGAATGCGCGTCTAGCCATGCAACGCAACATGCGAAACTCATGTTGTAAAAGTGTACGATTGTGCCAAGGCGAGCGTCTATCAGTGATACATTTTGTTTAAGTGCGCGTCCATGTGAGCGATCTGTGCCCACGAGGCTGGCCACCGATCAAGACATCCTCACAATCTGGCCCACACGTGGGGTGAAAATGAGCGCCTCGCTCGAGACATCCTCCAAATCTGCCCCGACAGCGAAGGATGTTGGGACAGATAACAAGCAAACCGCTTGACACATCCCCACAAAACGGCCGCGAACGGGACCGTGAACACACCCCTGGCGGCTCTCCTTAGGGACGTGAAACTGAGCGCCTCGCTCGAAGCATCCTCCAAATCTGCTCCGAAAGCGAAGGATGCTGGGACAGATAGCAGGCAAACCGCTTGAGACATCCCGACAAAACGGCCGCGAACGGGACCGTGTAATACCCCGCGGCGGCTCCCCTTGGGGACGTGAAAATGAGCGCCTCGCTCGAAACATCGTCCAAATTTGCTCCGCAAGCGAAGGATGTTGGGACAGATAACAAGCAAACCGCTCGACACATCTCCACAAAACGGCCGCGAACGGGACCGTGCAATACCCCTCGGCGGCTCCCCTTTGGGGGGTGAAAATGAGCGCCTCGCTCGAGACATCCTCCAAATCTGCTCCGAAAGCGAAGGCTGTTGGGACAGAAAACAAGCAAAGCGCCTGAGACATCCCCACAAAACGGCCGCGACCGGGACCGTGAAAACACCCCTGGCGGCTCCCCTTGGGGACGTGAAACCGAGCGCCTCGCTCGAGACATCCTCCAAATATGCTCCGAAAGCGAAGGGTGTTGGGACAAGAAACATGCAAACCGCCTGAGACATCCCCACACAACGGCCGCGAACAGGACCGTGAAAACACCCCTGGCGGCTCCCCTTACGGGGGCTGAAGCCAGCGCCCCGCCTGAGACATCCTCACAATCTGCTGTGCGTCTGAGTATGAGTAAGTCTGGGAACAAGTCTGAGTATTAGTTAGTCTGGGCATGAGTGAGTCTCAGCATGAGTAACTCTGAATCGGAGTAGGTCTGAGTATGAGTAGGTCTGAGTATGAATAAGTTTGTGTCTGAATAAGTCTGGGTATGAGTAAATCTGAGTGTGAGTAAATCTGAGTATGTCTGTGTATGAGTAAGTCTGGGTATGAGGAGGAGGGGGAGGAAAATAAGAAAAAGGAGGAGAAGTCGGCGGCGTCCAAGAAATAGCAAGAAGCCCATCTTAGGATATGGGGAACAGCGGCTCCCGCCTGCTACTTCCTTCTAACGAATTCCGACATCGCGCTCTCGTGCGGGACTTCCTCAGCATGTATGCATGAATCGCGCTCTCGCGTAGGACTTCCTCGCAATTATTCAGACGCCGCGCCCTGGACACTCAGGAATCACGCTCTCGCTTTGGTCTTTCTCGCGATTCACTTGGGAATCGCGCTGTCGCTCGAAACTTCTTCGCGATTCATGCAGGACTCACGTTTGAGCAGCGCGCTTGCTCGACTTCGCCGCCTGGGCCCGCCTTCCAGATCCACCCGCTATGGTTCTGCCCGCCCGATCTGCCCGTCTGCTTCTGCCATGTGTTTCCTGCTCTTAGCACCCCTCCTGCTGATTTCTCTCGTGCTCCATCCTTCTCCCTCCCTTTCCTTGAATTCGGAGCTGCACTAAATGCGCGTGGCAGGTAGGGGCGATATAACCCCAATGGGGGTACGATCGAAGACGAGGAAGGCGGATACCGACGGTGTGGGCCATACGAGTTGACTGGCCCGCGAGCAGAAAGGAGCGAACAAACTTACAAGTCAATTGCTGCATTTTCATTTCAGGAACATAATTATTTTTGATCCACTCCTCCGGCGCACGTTCTATTTTTCAAACTCCCGGGGCTCGCACCCATGTTCTCCTATTCTGCTAAACAAATCTGGAAGGTCAATCTAGCCTTTCGCCCCCGAACTACAACAGCAATGGCTCCCGCCTGATACCTCCTTACAACTTATTCCAAATACGCGCTCTGGCGCGGAGCTCCCTCGCAATGTATGCAGGAATCGCGCTCTCGCGTGGGACTGCCTTGCAATTTATTCAGTCGCCGCGCCCGGGACACTCAGGAATCACGCTCTCGCTTTGGCTTTTCTCTTGAATCACATGGGAATTGCGCTATCGCTCAAGACTTCCTCGCAATCCATGCAGGACTCACGCTTCAACAACCCGCTTGCTCGACCTGGCCGCCTGGGCCCGCCTTCCCGACCCGCCTGCTATGGGTCTGCCTGCCCATCTGCCCGTCTGGTTCTACCACGTGTTTTCTGTTCCTCGTCCCCATCCTGCAAATTTCTCGCGTGCTCCATCCTTCTCCCTCTCCCTTCCATCCGTCCACTTTTCCTTTGCTCCTCCTCCTCCTCCTCCTCGTCCTCCTCTCCTCTCCTCGCCTGGCCTACCCTATCCTACTTCTACTGTGAGGACCCTCCCGCCCTCCCCCCTCGCAGCGTCCTAGAGCCCCCTAGGGCTCCATACGACCCCCAGTCCTCCCCCCTCCAACTCCTCCTGCTCCTCGTCCTCTCCCTCCCTCTTCCTCCTCCTCCTCCTCCTCCTGGCCCCTCTTTCCTCCTCCTCCTCCTCCTCCTCCACATCCTCCTCCTCCACATCCTCCTGATCCTCCTCGCCTCCTCTCCCCCTGCCCCTCCCGCAGCTGGGCCTTCCATCGCGGCGAGGCCCGAGTATACCGGCGCCCGCTCGATGGGTGCTCGTTGGTCGATGCGACTTCCTACGCCGGAGGCGAGAAAGTTGAGGAGGATGCTGACTGAGGAGGAGGAGGTTGCGGGGGAGGGGGAAGAGAATGATAAGCGAGGTGGACAAGGATGGGTGGAGGAAGGGAGGGAGGAAGAGGAGGGAGGGGGATGAGGAGAAGAATCTGTTAGGGGGCTCCTCGGCTTTTCTACTTTTCCATGAAAGAAAAAAAAAGCCCTGGAATCTCGGGCTCCCCATGCCCCCTGGACTGCCTAGACTCTGTGCGGGGCCAAGGTGGGGTACGGCGGTGCCCATTATCGTCTTTCTTCTTCTTCCTCTTCTTCTTACGACGTTTCCTCTTATTAGTTGTCATATTCTTCATATTGCTATTGATAGTACTCTGCTTCGTATTATCATGACTAACACCATCACTATCATCATTCGTATGCTTGTTGGTGGTATTGAGATTATTATTGTTCTTTAAGAACTTTGCCAATCACTTTTTTACTGCTGGTACTCGTATTCGTGCTATTTCTCTTTTTCCCCACATCCTGAGTGGGGTTCTTGTTTTCCCAGAACACCCTCTCCTTCCCACCCACCTCCCGCTCCATCTTCCATACAGCACAATATTATTCCTACCACACACACCATACCATACCATAGTTCCTACCACACATACCATACCATACCATACCATACCATACCACACCATACGTACCATACCATACCATACCATACCATGGCGTACCATAGCATACCATACCATATCACACCAATGCCACACCGTACCATACCATACCATACCTCCAGTACCATACCATACCATATCATACCATACCGTACCATACCTACCATACCATTCCATACCACTCCATACCGAAAACCATATTACTTAATGGTTTCGTGCCCCTCCCACCCCTCCAGGGAGGCCCCGCCTGAGCGAGGAGGGTATCGGAATACCATACTATTTACATGGTTTCGTGCCCCTCCCACCCCTCCAGGGAGGCCCCGCCTGAGCGAGGAGGGTATCGGAATACCATACTATTTACATGGTTTCGTGCCCCTCCCACCCCTCCAGGGAGGCCCCGCCTGAGCGAGGAGGGTATCGGAATACCATACTATTTACATGGTTTCGTGCCCCTCCCACCCCTCCAGGGAGGCCCCGCCTGAGCGAGGAGGGTATCGGGTACATGGTTTCGTGCCCCTCCCACCCCTAGGCCCCGCCTGAGCGAGGAATACATACTATTTACATGGTTTCGTGCCCCTATTTACATGGTTTCGTGCCCCTCCCACCCTCCAGGGAGGCCCCGCCTGAGCGAGGAGGGTATCGGAAAACCATACTATTTACATGGTTTCGTGCCCCTCCCACCCCTCCAGGGAGGCCCCGCCTGAGCGAGGAGGGTATCGGAAAACCATACTATTTACATGGTTTCGTGCCCCTCCCACCCCTCCAGGGAGGCCCCGCCTGAGCGAGGAGGGTATCCGAAAACCATACTATTTACATGGTTTCGTGCCCCTCCCACCCCTCCAGGGAGGCCCCGCCTGAGCGAGGAGGGTTTCCGAAAACCATACTATTTACATGGTTTCGTGCCCCTCCCACCCCTGCAGGGAGGCCCCGCCTGAGCGAGGAGGGTATCGGAATACCATACAATTTACATGGTTTCGTGCCCCTCCCACCCCTCCAGGGAGGCCCCGCCTGAGCGAGGAGGGTATCGGCAAACCATACTATTTACATGGTTTCGTGCCCCTCCCCCCCCTCCAGGGAGGCCCCGCCTGAGCGAGGAGGGTATCGGCAAACCATACTATTTACATGGTTTCGTGCCCCTCCCACCCCTCCAGGGAGGCCCCGCCTGAGCGAGGAGGGTTTCGGAAAACCATACTCTTTACACGGTTTCGTGCCCCTCCCACCCCTTCAGGGAGGCCCCGCCTGAGCGAGGAAACCGCCAACGCCCAGAGGGCTGGTGGGATTGAGAGTCTGCGTGCCGGAGCTCCTTACATGTCTGCAAGGTCGCTGAGCCTAGTGCACACCAAGGGGTCCTCCAGGGCCTCGGCAAACCCTTTCAACATGAGCGGACAGGATGAGGAGGAGGAGGAGGAGGGGGAGGAGGAAGAGGAGGGGGAGGAGGAGGAGGAGGAGGAGGAGGAGGAGGAGGAGGAGGAGGAGGAGGAGGAGAAGGGAGGATTGGGACCAGATAGAACCCATGATGCATCAGCGATATACACCCTCCCGTCCCATGTCCCCTCTTCATAAGTTCCTACACGCATCTTTTCCAAACCTCGCCAAGGCAAGGAGGGCATCAAGAAAATGGGTCCCACGAAACCGTTAATCTCTTTATGTGGGGAACTCCGTTAGCATAATTTTTGATTCCTATCATCACACGTACATTACTACTACTCCTACTACCCCTACTCTACTACTTCTACTACTTCTTCTACTACTACTCCTACTACTCCTATTACTCCTACTCTTATTCCTACGCCTACTCCTACTACTACTACTCCTACTCCTACTACTACTACTACTACTACTACTACTACTACTACTACTACTACTACGACCGCTACTACTACTACTACTACTACTACTACTACTACTACTACTACTACTACTACTACTACTACTACTACTACTACTACATACTACTACTACCTACTACTACTACTACTACTACTACTACTACTACTACTACTACTACTACTACTACTACTACTACAGGAGGAGGAGGAGGACGAGGAGGAGGAGGAGGAGGAGGAGGAGGAGGAGGAAGAGGAGGAGGAGGAGGAGGAGGAGGAGGAGGGAGAGAGAGCCAGGCAGAGCCGCGCAGCGTGCCGGGGCCGCGGCGGCCAGGGAGGCTGCCAGGGCGGCAGGTACTATGCTCGGGCCGGACGAAAGGGGGGGGATTGGGAAAGGGGGGTTACGAAATTTGCTGCATGCAGCTGGTTTCGGCCCCACCGAGGGGCCCATTCCTCGATGCATGGCCGCCTCCGGCGCCGGGAGGCGCCGGGAAAATCAGCTACGTGAGCTGATTCTCAAACCTCCCCTTTGCTATCTTCCCTTTCGCCCGGCCCGACTGTCACACCCGCGGGGGGTCAGGGACAGTGCATGGACATTATATTCGAACCCTGTGGCCCAAGATGCCCCCCAGACCCCCCGAAATTAATAGTGACGACGGGGAGTGCGTGAGTGGACAGAAATATTCGAACCCCAAAGCACCGCCTTTACTGAGATCAACATTGATGTCGGGGGCGCGGGGGTGATTCAGGATCTCCCTCGAATGTGTAAGGGTTCGAATATATTGTCCATGTACGGGACCGGTGGCGGGGAGTTGCGGCCCCGCGTCGCCAAGGCCCGCTCGGGCGAGGATGTCAATCCGTTCCAGAGCGTTCCAGAACGCTCTGAGAAAGCCACGACGCCCGATACTCCAGATTTCGTAATAAAGGGAGGGGGGTCTCATTTCGGGGGGGGTCTCTTCCAGGCTATCTTGGAGGGCCTGGGGGGGTCTGGGGACGATGTTCTGGAGGGTTCTCCCACGGGGGAGGTCTGAAATGGCTTGTCTTGGAGGGTCCAGACCCCCTCCCTTTTAGTACGAAATCTGGAGTACATCTTCCAGAGCCGCCAGATCTCAGAGATTCTCGACCCATCCTCACCCGATTGGTCCTCGCCCTGGCCTCGTCGTACAGGGTCCTGGAGCCCCGGGGCTGGGAGAGCGAGGCCCTGAAAAAGCCCGAGGCGCCGGGGCCCGATGGTCTCGCCCTTCCTCCCCCTCCCCCTCCTCCTCCTCCTCCTCCTCCTCCTCCTCCTCCTCCTCCTCCTCCTCCTCCTCCTCCTCCTCCTCCTCCTCCCCCTCCTCCCCCTCCTCCTCCTCCTCCTACTCCTCCTTCCTCCTCCCCCTCCTTCCTCCCCCTCCTCCCCCTCCTCCTCCCCCTCCTCCTCCTCCTCCTCCTCCTCCTCTTTCTCCTCTTTCTCCTTCTCCTCCTCCTCCTCCTCTTCCTCCTCCTCCTCCTCCTCCTCGTCCTCCTCCTCCTCAGAGTCGCGCCCGAGGCCTGGCAGCTCGGGAGAAGAGGGCCGTCTGGCCTGTCTTGTCCATCCGCCTGCTGGCATTCTTACGAGGCGTGTGGGAATGCGCGCAGTGCAGGTCTGCATGCCTCGCGGCACGGATGGAGAGAGGGAGGAAGAGCAGGAACAAGGCAAAGACACTTGGGAAAAGACTCGGCATCGCTCGGGCGTGTGCACCCTTCTCGGCGAGGGGCATCGAGGAGCATCCTGGATCATCTGGCAGCAAAGCAGACACGACGCCGAAACATGCGCGGGGAATGGGCGTCCGAGCGATGGCAAGCCTCGCGGCACGGATGGAGAGTGTGAGAGAGAGAGAGAGAGAGAGAGAAACAAACAAACTTATCCTGGCGAAGGACCCAACCATATGCAATTGTGAATAACGCTTTGTGGGTGCCGCTTTCGGTGGGGCTCCCTATGGGGCCACGGAAGGCGTGCCACGAAACGCTGTCCTGGGCGTACGGGACGCATGCGGGCGGTAGCACTGGGGCCTTTGGTGGAGCTCCCTATGGAGCCACGAAACGCTGTCCTAGGCGTACGGGACGCATGCGGGCGGTAACACTGGGGCCTTCGGTGGAGCTCCCTATGGAGCCACGAAGCGCTGTCCTGGGCCCTCGGCGACGAAACGTGTGAGGGGTGTGCCGAAATGGGTGCGGTGCCGCCTGCCACGCCAGCCACGACTGGGGGCCCTCGGTGAGCTCCCTATGGGGCCACGAAACGCGTGTGAGGGGGTGTGCCGAAATGGTGCGGTGCCGCAGCCAACGCAGGCCACTGGGGCCCCTCGGTGGAGCTCCAAAATATAAGGGAAAAAGGCCACAAACGTGGTGAGGGGTGTGCCGACATGGTGCGGTGCCGCCATGCAAACCGCAGCACGGGGCCCTCGGTGGGAGCTTCTCCCTATGGGGCCACGAAGCGTGTGAG